TAAAAATCTTTTTAAAAATAATAATAATTAGCCCTCACGCTATAGATTAAAATACATAAAAATCAAGTAAATTAACCCCCCAAAATCATTATTTATTGTTTTCTAGAAACTGTTTATAAACAGTTATACCTGAAAGTGAAATATGCTTCTGTCAAACTGGTTAATATTTTTTTTTTGGGGGGGAGCCTCACGTATAAGCTGTCATGGTGCCCTGTTCATCTAAAACATCACACAATAACACCTGAGCTTGCTTCTCGATTCACAAAAATCATCTACTTTATATCCTCCCTGTAAACTTGCTCAACAGTTTTCCATGGATTACATTCGCTATTTTGCACAAAGCCGCCACTTTGACCCACTGTCCGGCCACAACTACGGGCTGGCCAGGCAGCAGAGGGGTGGTGGGAAGATGTGCATGAAATCAGAATTCTGCAGGAAAAGAAACAGAAGTCACCAAACCCACGGAGCTGCCTAACAAAACCAGAAGGCGTTCCCTTCCAGCTGGCTGCAGGAGCGAATTGGATCTTAAGTACTAAGAAGTTCTTAAAAGTTGTGAGAAAGTCAGAGCTTAAGAAGGATCAGCCTTCTGACTTCTTGATAAACTAGTTTCTCAAGACACCTTCTAGATCTTCTAGATGCCAAAGACATGGATCGCCTGCGTGGCAGTCTCAGGAAAACGCCGGGTTCGAGGGGGTAAGGCGACCAGCTAAGCAGTCCCTGAACCGGTATCTACGCATGCTCCACAAGCTGCTGGCTAGGAAAGAGAAAGGCTGCACTTAAATACAAACCTTAAAGGAGCACTGCCACACACTGGCAGAACGTTGCCCTGCTGAATTCTCGCTTTGACTAATTCCAGCATTTTCCTTCCCAGCACGATGGCCTTTTAGAGTGTCCCTGAGGAAACAGGGGCCCACGCTGGGGAGAGCCCCGCGTGTCCATTCTGCATGATGACACTACGCCGTGGCTACCGCCCACCCTCGGGACAGGAAGATCACGGTCCCCTCCACGACAGAGGAGAGTGATTCCAAAGGCAAAGCGATCCTGGCTGCTCGCATCCCTGGATGGAGAGGAGGCCACCTGGTCCCTCCCCAGCCCAACCCACGGGACCAGTGTGCCATGAAGACACACGCGGGACAAAGAGCACAGCACACACTGTGTCAGAAACGCTAACTTCAGCAGTGGCTTTGGGGGATGGAAGAAGTTGCTGCTCCTCCAGCTCCCGGCTGCAAACCCTGTCACCAACATGGGTTACAAAAACCCAGGGAAATCGCGGTGTCTGAATTACCGGCAGTATTTCACCTCCGTTTTATAAACTTCGTGTTTTGATGACACGTGCCTCACGCCGATGCATTTCACAAAGAGAAAGGAACTGACAATATCAGCCGAATACTTCATCCCGGGTTTCACCACCACCCCCTTATAAAGTAAGAAGCTTCCAGAGGTTTTTTTTTACGGTAAATTAGATAAATCTGCTGCTTCCCGGTTTAACCGTCAATCCGTGTGAAGAGGTGCCACTGTAACAGTGCTGACTTCTTCCTGCCACTCGACGTTACTGACATTGCACCCTCCTTTGGATTTTTCGGGAAGAGGATGGGGTGAAGAGCGGTTTCTTTTTGGCAGGGGAAATGTTCATTATCCGTGTTCCTACCACATTACGATCAAACCGTTCCGTGAAGTTTTGATCCTGAAGCTGGAAGAACAGAAACACCCTTTTAAAAGTTTCCCTCCAGAGACACAGCCGGGAGACGCTCCGTCTCCTACTCTGTTACTTGTAACACTGAGGCCTCCTCCTTTCCACAAAGCGTCAGTCAAGACGAACGACTTCTGCACGTACAGAACGAACACGGAGAATTACGCTGTGTACACTACCACCAAACTCAACCCTACCAGGGCCCAGCGGGAGCCCCCCTTTGGGGAAACGTCAGAGCCAGCCACGTGCACATGCCTTTCTGCCCCATGCGAGCTGCAGGCCACCCCCACGGGCACCTGCCCTCTGGACAGTGCCTTCACCTACGCCTCCATCCGCTCAGGAGCACCATGAGCTGAGAAGAGGTGGCCCACGGAGCTAGGGTCCAGGCGACACTTCAGAAGAACCCCACAGGGCAGACCCGGTGGGTCGCACAGTGCCAAGCTTGGGATCGGAAGGTGTCACCCTGCTGCTGTGGCCTCACAGAAGTCCCTTTATGCTCTGGGGCCCTGTGGGCACAGAACCCCGAGGACCACTGAGGCTGTGCCAGGGGCACAGGGGGCGCAGGCTGCGTCAACGTCAAGTCCGGCACACAATACGCTTCCCCAAACACACCCAAATGCTGTTGAATAAAGTCGACATTAATGCCACTGTGTCTGCTATCAAGTACCTTTTTGTCATCCCGGATTTTCTTACTCAAAAAAAAAAAAATACTAAGTTAAACCAGCCTGACGTGGGTGGGGGTCGGGATGTTTTCTGAGAGGGTCCCATAGACTCGGAGGAATTGAAGAGTCCCTGGTCTGGAGTTTGGGATAATCTCCAGAGCTCCCTGACAGCGATGACGTAGGCGTCACCGTCCCTCCTGACGCAGCAGCTCAGCCGCCATCACACCGTCAGCGAGCAAAGCAAGGGCGAGGCCTCCCCAGCTCCAGACCCTCGCACTTCTTGTTTAAGTCTGGAGTCTTAAAACAGAAGTAAAAGAATTTGCGTCTTTCATCAACGATCACCGAACACCTCTTGTAGCACAGCCAAGGCTACCTAGCCGCGCACCGCCACGCTGCGGGCCGAAACCCCCGGGAAAGACGAGATGGGGCGTGCAGTGAGAGCCCAGCATCGTCGCCCCCACGGAAAGGCCGCCTCCGTGTGTCTTATGGTGGCAGCAACACTAAATGCCTTTTAAGAACCATGTAATGCCTTCTGTGACTTTTATGGCATATCAAATTACAAGCTTACTCTCATGTAAGAAAATTGTCCACACGCTAACACGGCTACCTGTAAAAGGAATAATTGATAAGCGAGGGCAAAGAGCTTTGAAAACCTAGAGGTATCATACGGATAGGAAGAAATAACGCAGACAGACAGCCAGCGCCCAAACCTCAGCAACCATTCCATGAAAGACAATCAGTGAGGTTGGACCAACGCCTGTGTGGGGTTTCATTATTATTATTATTATTATTACTATTATTCCTTCTGGAGAGGAGCTCTGAAAGTCTGTCTTTCTGACTACAGACAAAAGGCAGTGTCTCAGAACAAACAAAATCAGCCACTACACAGCTTCCGGGACACTGCAAAGCCGGGGGTTGCGACGGTGCCACCGCCGATCTGCCTGGGGCTCAGAGTGATGGAGGACCGCATGGGTCCCCCAGGGTGAGCTGCTCGGTGACCAGCGGGGACCCCTCTGCGGCACTCCAGCCACAGACCGACACCCTGAGGATTCCTGCACAGGGAGGTTCGGCGCCGGGACCGAGGTTCCCCTGCCTGGACCCCGGGAGGCAACGACAGTGGCAGTCGCCCATTTCAGTGCCCACCCTGAACTTGGGGGCCCTTTCATTCTGCAACCTGATACGGGACACTGGAAATAGGCACTGTGAAAAATCGCCTTTGCACGCACCCACAAACAACTAGTCGCTCCACTTCTTTCTTACCCTCGAAAGCTTACGATCACATCAGATGGCAGAAAGTTCCTAAAATACGCGAGCCCCTCTTTCCGTTCCCCAGCCCCCCTCGGCTGGAAGCGGAGGCTGAGCAGACGGCTCTGCTTCCTCCCGGCTGGGGCCCCGCTCTGCCTGCTCCCACGAAGGACCCCTCTGCCTGGGAAACCCCCTTCATCCCCGACTGAGTCTTCTTCCCTGAGAACCCCGAGTGCTTTGTCGTTCTCCCCACGCTCGTGCCTCTGTTCCTCCCCCTCCGCTGGGCATGTTTTTTTTTTCTTTCCAAAAGAGAGCAGTTGCCTGAAGCAGTTTACAAAGAAATGTGTGGGGTTTATGTCCCATGATCAAGGTCCAAGGCCTTTAGTAAACTATGGAAGTTAGGCTAACAGGGGGCTTGGAATTCTTTAGGGAAAAAACCCCAGGGGAAAGCCTACTAGGGAAGAGTCGACAGAGCGAAAGCTCTTCCCCCAACACGCCCAGAACCCCGCTCCGGAAGACACACTCTTCCCTCTAGGATGGCCTTAGTCCACCTAAGGTCAGAGCCGGCCTGTTTACTTCCAGATGTAAACACGGGCCCCAATGTTATGAAAAATCAGCACCCATGCATGCAGCCCAATCTGCCTCTTCTACAGCACGAGTTACACAATCTCCAGGGATTGTAAAGGGAAGCTGTGACTTGTCCCTCCCAGATAGTCTCTGAAGGGGTTCCGCCTGGGGCTCAGATAGGTAGCAAGTTATACCAGGCATCCTTCCCCGATTTAAAGAGACAAAAAACAGACGGCCAGGCCGAAGGTGCCCAGTCCCGCCCACCTGGCCTGTGGTCTGTCCACAGCCCGCTCTGCGACTGCAGAGACTCCGGAGCAGGAGGAGGCTGCAGCATCCATCTCCCGTGGTCCAGCTCCGGGTGTGCGGCCTGCTTCCCAGAAACAAGCGTGAGCCAGCTGCCCAGGGTAGCAGAGGGGCCGAAGGAGCCCGGCTTCTCATCAGAGCTAAGCCCCGGCCGGTACTTGATTAGCTGGCTCCGCTTCCAGGGAGCAAAGACACAACCTGCAGGACCATCATCACTCACAGTCCTCAGCCAGGGGAGGTGGCGCTCTGCCCAGAAGCCAGCCACCGATGCCTGGCAGGTCACCAGCGGAGCTCACCAGGCGCACTGCAGGCAGCAGAGCCCCAGACCCTTGGGGCCGGGCTGTGTGACGGCCACCACGCTTCCATTTGCTGGCTCTCTTTGGAACGTCCGGGATGGGGACAGGCAATCAGGGTAGTTCAGTGAAATTTTTTTTTTCTTTCTAGCTGTCGGTGACCGAAGAGGGGAAAGGTGCCTTCCGACCCACGGCTGTGTGTCAGTGCTCACCAGGGCTCCGCCACAGAGCACGTCCTACCGTAAGGGTATTTGGTGTCCAGCTTCCTCTCCGCCGTCCTCCTCCAAGGCAAGAGGTCATCGCTGCACCCGTTCGGCATGCCATTGTACCCGATGCCCACGATCTTGTTTTCCGCGTTCACGATGCAGGCTCCAACCTGCAGGGAAACACAAGCAAAGACGTGGTGACCTGGAGTGGCCTGTCTGCCCCCGGAGAGGTGGTGAATGAAACCAGAGACCCGAAGACTCCAAAAGGACACGCAGCGTCTGGGGGAGGCGGGGCTCAGAGCTCTGTCTCCCTGCCTGTTTTCCGTGGCAGTTCCCACGAGCCAAAGGAAGAGCACCCCTGGCCCCAGGGCAGGTACCCGAGACACCTGGTGATCACTTTCACAGGAAGACGCGAGCAGGCGGGGACACAGCACAGTGTCCCAGAGAGCGCATGCACCTGGGAATTTGGATCTTTGCTTCTCTGTGCCGATAAGAAGGCCACGGCCATGAAGTACTCAGGCCACTCCAGGTAGTCCTCCCGTTTCTTGCAGGGGACGGTGCTCATGCTGGATCTGGAAGGAAAGCACAAGGCGATGCGACCGCAGGGGAGAAAGCCTTGGGGCCAGCCTGCTCCAACGTCCCACCCAGCCACAGTCGCACCGTGCATCGTCCAACTCGGAAACTTCGGTTAGACTTACCAGTCAGAAAAACCACAGAAGATGGACTCCAGACGGTCTCTGGTCTTAAAAAAAAAATTAAGAAATTAGTGTCGCAGGTTCGATTCCCAGTCAGGGTACATGCCTGGGTTGCAGGCCATGACCCCCAGCAACCGCACATTGATGTTTCTCTCTCTCTCTCTCTATCTTCCTCCCTTCCCTCTCTAAAAATAAATAAAATCTTTTTAAAAAATTAAGAAATTAAGTTACTATTTGAAAAGTTTGCATTTGGCACATGTCCCCAAATAGGACATCTATTTACTGCTTTGGCACAGGAGGTCTTACAAATGCCTGCCCTGCGAACTGTTCTCATCCCTCAGCCCTCTCCCTCATAACAGGGAGCCAGGACGAGTGGGGCGGAGGTGGAGGGGAAGAGAACATTTTTGATCAGCTCACAAATTGCAGACAGTGTTGAAGGTTATGTACATAACTTCACTACAGCCTCCTTGCCAGCTAAGGTGGAGAGTGGCACCCCACCTTAGAGACTGTGGGAACTTGGGTAACTCACCCTACGTCACACCGGTTATTACTTGGCACTGCCCCAGTGCTGACCTTAACTGGATTGATTTGTCCCTTCCCTTTCCCCTTAGTTTCCCCAGATAGGGCAGTCATCAACTCTGAGTGCTGAGTGAATCAAATCAGGGCGAACTATGAAAAGCGTCGCATGCTGTCGTTAAGGCAAGGTTTTAGCAACAGGCCTTTGGTGGGCAGGCACAGGCTGACCCTCCTGCAGGGAGAACCCCTGAAGGGGACAGCCCCTGAAAGCTCCAGCAGAGTAGGGGAGGGGCCCTTTCAAGGTCAAGGAAGGAGGTCAACCCAAGAATGGGGTAGGTAGTGTCACTGAGAAGCCTGGAGAAGGCCCAGAAATCTGGGATAAAAAAAGGTGAGCATTTCTCCCTGCGCCTGAGACTGGGATGCATGAACACGTGGGGCCTGGAACCGGCATTACCCAATGACTACATGGCCCAAATTCTGAGCAGCCTGTAAGGCCCCTTACAGACTGGACCTATTTACCACCCGGGCTAAAGGGCTGGCATCATAATCGCTGCAGGGTGCCAGGGAAACGCCTACGACCCCCACACAGGAGGAGGGGAGAGGAAGGAGGGGTGGAAAAGGGATTTACCCTCCACCAGCCCTTTCCCTGAAGTCTGGGTTAATGTTCCCAGATGCCCCAAACCCAGCAGCAGAAAGAGAGAAGACATCCATTCAGGGAGGTACCCCTAGCTCCCCCCGCGCCCCCCCCCCCCACAGAACCCCTCCACCCCCCTCCACCCCCCTCCATTCTTATCCCGGGAGTATCCCCACCGCACCCGCGGGCGCCAGAAGTTACTGTCACTTTCAGAGTCCCGCGTCCACCCTGTTCTCAGCTCCCCAAGCTGGAAAGCCTCCCACAGGCCACACTGCCCGCCACGGAGTTAGCCGGGCCGTCTTCACGGAGAGCAGGGCAGCCCTGGGTTCCGCACCCCCCAGCCCGGCTGCAAGCCCGGCGCCCCGCACCCCACGCTCCGGCCGCGCCACGTGGTGCGTGGTCCGCGTTTCCAGCCCAGCCCCGCTCAGCGACCTGCACGCGACGTGGGTTCCCGCCACACCGGGGAAGGAAGTTGGGAGCGGAGGCGGGGCCGCCGCGTGGCCGGAAGGTAGCAGCGGCCCGGGCCTCGGCGCGCTCTGCGGAGGGGGCCGGCCGGGCAGGGCGGTGCGCGCCCGGCGGGATCGTCTCGGCTCCCTGGCCCCGGCTGCAAAGTTAGCTCGCTCAGCACTCGGTCTGGACGGCGACCTGCAGATTTTGCCTCCGACTTTGCGGCGGGGGTGGGGGGAGGGGGCTGGCCCGGGACCCGCGCGGTGGCCCCGCCTACAGGAGTCCCCGGGTCCCGGAGCCTCTGCCGCATTCCTGGAAGCTGGGGTGGCGCCGGGACGGCCTGCTGGCGGCGGCTCGGAGAATCTGACTTCAGAACCGTTGCATTTTTCAGATCTCTGAATCTGAGGGGTGGGTCGTTTCTGTTGTTGATGGTGGGGTGTTTTTTTTTTTCTTCCCCACCTGAACCTACCGCCAGCTAAAAGCTCTCACAATAATTACGAATGTGCAATGTGTGAATAAAATAAGATCCGAACGAGTCCCGGTGCAGTAAAACTGCAGAGGCAGGAAGTGAGGAGACTTGGTCGGGGCCCTGGAATGGATGGGCCCACTGTGAGGCTCTGCTCTGTCCTCGCGGGGAACACTGACCCCTAGCAGCAGCTTCGCACTTGTATGCGGCACTGCACGCTCTGCCCTGAAGATACATTTGCATTTGTGCTTTGCATGGACAGTCTACCGTCTCCACTCAGATTTTGTGGAAGGACCTGAGATGCGTGCTGAAGCCCACGCCCCCGGCCCCCGCGCAACCCCCACCGCCTGCACACCTGCCTTGGTAGTCTCCCGATAACATTTGCCAGCTATAAAACTGCTTGTTTTGTTACAGTTGTTTGAAAGATCAGAAGAACGTGGCCCAGGTCAAAAAAGAAAGACCTGCAGTGATATTTCTGAAGTCATACGCCCCAAGGAACTAAATCTGATTTTCTCGAACTTCATTATTCTATTAAGACGTCTAGCTCCTAAGTCTGGCGGAACATCGGTTCCGGCGCGGAGACTGACAAATGCGCCCCTTGTTCTGCACGCGGGGCTGGAGGAGACAGCCAGCCCTCCATAAATAACAGCTACTGTAATAATCAAGCGTCTGATCGGCACATCCCAGATCTGAGCCACTAATCCAAACAAAAGCTTGCTAACTATATTAATTTAGCCTAACACAGGAAGAATGATGAGAACAAACAGTTGGTTCTATCTAATTTCTCACTGCGGCAGACACATCATTCTTCATCTCCTGGGTCCGGCCTGTAGATTCAATAATTAAATTATGTACTGCAGTTGGTGGGTGCCGGGAAAGCGAAGGAGAAAAATACTTCATCGTTAACTATAGATTTTTTTTTTTCCCCTTGATCAGACTCAGGCTTGAAAGAGCTACATAGATTAAGATGATGATTTTTAATGTGAAGTTAACTTTACTCGGCTGTCTTGTTGTCACTGAAATGTATTACAAGCTCAGCTCCCGCTCCCCTGCCCCCTCCCCAATCCATTGCTTGGTCTCAGCCACGGTCGTGTGTAGTGGTGGAGTCTTCGTGGGTCCATTCCTCTTCTTACCACTCCGACCGATACATCACCCACTGCTGCTGGGCCTTCGACCACAGCGCCATTAAGCTTCCTTCCTTCCTCTGCTCTGTGAGGACTGTCATACATAATTCAGTTACTTCTCATCATTCTCCATTTTGGTCAACTCACACTCTCCCCTCCGCCATAAATCCAGGGTCCTGCCTGCAGCGAGCACATTACCCGGGATGTTGCTGCCTTTCACCCCAAGTCTCCCGTCTGACAAGATGACATCATGCTCAGGACAGGACACCATCCTGCTTCATGGTTTCGCAACTTGAGGTTTCAACTATTGGGCGCCAGCCGCAAACCCAGGCAGCCAAGGAGGGGAAAAAAGGGCATTTCTTGGTTTATCTTGCTCGTTAACACCTTGTAACTCCAAGTGTGCGGTAGGTGTTAAACCTCTCCTGTTCATACCTTGTATTTCCATCTATAATTGAGGATCTTTCCGCCCGGAGCACAGGCACAGGCTCACTCTGTGTCTGCAGCCGTATCAGGAGCCAGGGGCCGGGCCTCCCACCAGGGAGGACGCAGCCACACATTTGCAAGGTCCTTATCTCAGGTGTTCGCTTGGCTCCCTTTATACAGGCCCACAGTTACCTATGTCTGATCTGTGACACAACCTGGGGTACATTCCAGGGCCTCGAGGCTCGGGGATCCAGGTTAAAAAGGCAGAAGTCAAGGGAAGAATCTTCCCGCTGCCTCTGATGGGCTCCGATGGCGTTCGGGGACGCCTGCTCCATCAGGATGGAGCTCACCACTTCTCCCACCGCCTCTGCTCGCCCAGGAAGGGGCGGGACCTGAGCCGGGAACTGAGGGAGGGGCTCTGGCTATTCGCCTGTCCATCAAGTTTGCCGTGGGAGAAAGAACTCAGGCCTTGGAGCCCGGCTAGACTTGGAATTCGAATTCCACTTCTTACCACCCAGGGGACCTCAGAAGGTGGTTACATTCTTGGAGTCTTTGTTCCCTCGTCTGTAAATCCAGACCAGTCATTCATTCAATCATTGTTTATTCATTCTCTATGTGCACGGTGCTGTGAATAACAGCAATGAAGCAAATAAGCCAGTTTTTGCCCCGTCGGGGCTTACGCCCCACACCCCCATCTCAAATAAAGGCTGAATAAAGGAACCGTACCTCTGGCTCGGTGAGCACAGTAAGTGTCCTTAGAAGATAAATCACCTCCTGGAATAGCTTTGCCCCCAATCCAGCGGTGGTTGGGACCCAAAACTTCTTTTCTTAGCCCAACAACTGTACTTAGAGGCAAAGTACCACCTTTACTCTTTTACAAAGGATACTTGTTTCTGTTTCCATGCAGGAGTTTAAACTAGGGAAACTGTTTACTTAGTTTTTAAGATTTTATTAATTTATTTTTAGAGAGAAGGGGAGGGAGAAAGAGAGAGAAACATCAGTCGGTTGCCTCTCAAATGCACCACAACCAGGGACCAGACCTGCAAACCAGGCCTGTGCCCTGACTGGGAATTGAACCTGCGACCTTTTGCTTTGCAAGGCAATGACCAACCAACTGAGCCACAACGGTCGGTCAGGGCTGGAGAGAAGTGGTTAAATGTAACTAAGGGCCTGACTGGAGGATCTGCTACAACAGAAAAGAAGTCAATGAAAATTCTAGAAAAAAATTAAGAATACGGTCCTGTCACTACACTTTTATCTGTGTTACAACATGAGGACAGTTGCTCACGTTTGGTGAAAGACACGCAGACTGTAAACTGACATGACAGAATATTCCTCGCAAAAAAAAAAAAAAAAATTCAAGATGCCTGCACAGGATTCGTGTTAGGAGTTGAGGGACCCGGCTGTCTTTATCATTCCGATCTTCAAGATGACCATGAAGGTCAGTGAGGAAATGGTATCGGGGTGCCTGCACAGAGCTGGGTGCATTGCTGTCATGTATCGATAAATATCTGCTGACTGAGTAAAGGAATTGTTAGACAACCACTGCTTTCCGCCCATGCACAAAGAGAAGGCTTTATCTGCATGTTGTGACTCGACCTCTGTCTCTGCTTCCGTTTGCTCCTTGTGTCCAATGGATCTGGAAAGACACTGAAGGGGGCAGACGTGGGGGCTGGCGGGTCAGGGACCAGAGCCCAGCGGAGCTGTTCTCAGGACGCGTGCTCTCTCACGCTGAGGAGCCCGGGCCTGGCAGGCAAATCGCACGCACCGCCAGCGCTGGCACGGAGGGCAGCTGGAAGGCTGTGTGCTCTTCTGTGGGTGTCACTTCTCCCCACGACTTGCCTTTTCTCTGCAGAGCTGAACTCGTGGCCCCTTTCATACATAACTGGTTGAAGTTGATGGAAATGACATGTCTTAACACTCCTTAAGAGAGAAAAAAAAAAGCCCAGAAAATGTAAATCTGAAAGAAATGGGCAATTTTCTTGTACCACTTTATATTTCTGTGTAAGTTACCAAGTGCCAATCATTCTCACTTTTTAAAATTCAAACTTGTCAAGTGGCATGTGAGCTCTCAGTGTTGTACAAGAGAAGATAATGCTCCGTGTGGAACCGTCGTCTCTGCTGGCCCTGCAGAAGCGTCTCCCCAAAAGAGGATTGATCAGGTTGCTGGTTTTATGGCAACATTAACAATGTCATTATGCTATTCCCACTCGTCTGGGGTCACCATGGGAGCCACCGAAAGGTAGTCAACACGATGTTACGGTTCTGGATATAGAATTCTTTACCGACATCAAAGTCAGTATTTTAACTGATGTAATAGGGTGAGTGTCCAGGAATCGCTGTAGTGGAAACCCCTGTTAAATCGTACTAGAAAGTCCGTGGCTACCGTAACCTGATTGACACGTTGTGCCTTCCTTCGATGGACTAACGGGAGAGCGGGCGGTGGGTAAACTTCTGCAACAAGAAAGCAGGAATCTGATTGGTGCTTCAGCACCGCAGCTCACTGCGCATGTGCACCTTGAGGGGAACTTGTGGGGGTGGGGGCCTGCGGTGAGGACAGCGATCAGTGCCACGCGGTGAAACATCACTGTTTATGGGCACGAGCAAACAGAATGAGGAAGGAAGCCCGTCCCGTCTGAGTACCTGTTGGCACTGTTCATAGTGCGCAGTTCTGCGCTTTGATGCAGGAGGGGACAGCGAATAACACGGCAGTGACGAGGTCAGGGTCTTCCAGGAGTCTCGTTTTGACCAACCTGTGTCTGCCGCTGGGTTTGGCTATCTGCCACAGCCCTGGGATGGTGACATTGACATGCAGAGCGCAGTCAGCCGCCCAGTGTTCTGAGATACTTCGACAGTAACGCTCTCTTCAAATGAGCCCTGGATGGAGTTAAATATCAACCAAAGAGACCAGAATGACACTCGTGAAGTCATCCTTCTGAGAACGGCAGAGATTTAATGATGCAGACGCCGGCCCGCAGTGTCCACATCAGTATGGAGGAAATGAGACATTCACACAGACTACCGAGTCCCGTGGAGGAAAAGGGACAGCATGGCTTTTCTCTCAAGGGGAGCAAAAGCTGTGGCCTCTGCCATGACAGGCCTTTATTGGGTTTCTCCACCCATTACATGATGGTCCTCATTTACTGTGCACTGATTTGCTTTAGGGGGTTACCTTTTACAGAAATCAAGGAGCCAATGCTGCTAATCACATC